TAGAGTTGTCCAGTGGAAGCCATGGTCGCATTTTGACTCTCACAGTATCTTTGGGCTTCCAAGAAGGTGAATTGTGCTGTCTGAGTTGCAAAGAAGACTTCACCTACAGATAATGAATGAAAGGTGGTGAGATCCACTTTCATTAGAGCTACACAGTACTTGGGATTCAAGTTTCCCCATATTCTATAGAGCATAGATCTAGCACCTATCCATAACACCTCCAAGCAGCTGACAAATCCCGTAAATGGATGCCCTTTGGTGCTGTGGGAGGTCCAAATCCAATGCGTTGATTCATCAACACTTCTTGACCTACTGATAACAATAGGTCCTCTTGACCTCACCTTTTGCTTGCTCTTTATCGTCGCGTTTCTCAACTTTACCAACTTTTAATGTATGTGAATTTCAACTCTTAGAATTCTGGGAGTTGAAGTCCCTATGTCTTAAAGTTGCCAAGGTTTAGAAACATGGGTCTAAGAGTGATTGCTAAGCTGAAGTCACTTACTTCTGCCTTTCTTCCAGGCTTGGAGTTTTTTCCTAGTGGACTCTAGGGTCTAGGCCAGTGATGACTAACCTTTTTGTCATTGCATGCTGAAAGCCCATGTACATAATGCAATGCCTGCATAACCCCCCCTGTGCCACTCCCCCATGTATGTATGCATGACACCCCCACATGTGCCCCACTCCCACGCATGCATGGCAGAGATACAAAAACCAGCTGGCTGGTGGGAGATACATGCATATGCATGATGGACCTGAGCTGGGGCGATCCCCATCACGGGTCTAGGCTGTGTCTATCTCTACAGTGCTTTTCCTGAAGATAAATATCCTCTCTGCTATGAAACCCACTTCATGAGCCTTTCTTCAGGTCATATTTCTGCTGCCCCCAAAAGTCTTTGTGTCACACCCACAGAGCACTTCAGCCTTCAACAACCCCTTAAGATGTTGTAGACTCCTTCTGCCTTCCTTCATCTTTGGAGATTGAAACTAAAACGTTGTCCAGCCCTATTTCCATGATTACATTAGATGTCAATAAAGCACTTCTGCAGAAGGTCCCATAAGTGTAAACATACCTTTCAGTCTTTCAATATAACAGTAGACATCAAACTTTTCTGATGCTGGGCGCATACCATACGACCTCACTCCAGGGGAGTTCTCTTTGTCTCCTGAACATTTGCTGCGTGGAACGACAATGGGATACCTGGCCAACAGGGATGAATCTCATCAAAGTTTGCAGAATTTTTCACTAATAGTTGAGAACTGCTTTAGATGGGCTAAAAGGTAAAGGTTCCCCTCACACATGTGCTAGTCGTTCCCAACTCTAGGGGGTGGTGTTCATCTCCATTTCAAAGCCGAAGAGCCAGCGCTATCTGAAGATGTCTCCCTGGTCATGAGGCCGGCATGACTAAATGCCGAAGGTGCACGGAACACTGTTTGCCTTCCCACCAAAGGTGGTTCCTATTTTTCTACTTGCATTTTTTACGTGCTTTCGAACTGCTAGGTTGGCAGAAGCTGGGACAAGTAACTGGAGCTCACTCTGTTATGGGGCGCCAGGGATTCGAACCGCTGAACTGCCGACCTTTCTGATTGACAAGCTCAGCATCTTAGCCACTGAGCCACCACGTCCCTTTAGGTGGGCTAGGATCATGTAATTGTTTTCAGTGTAAGGATTATACTTACTGTAGCTTTTGGGGAATGTGTTTGGAGCTACATTCCCAAACTAAATGAGGCTGAAACGATTTTTATAAATGTATATTTCATTAACTCAATGAATTTTATGATCACTTCATCATGTACTTAATGGATAAAACATTAAAAGCTGCAGTTGGCTGACAACCTTTGGAAATACTTCCTGGTCCACCCAAAGCTTTCTGTTCTGGGTATCTGGCAAAGTCACAATGGGCAGATTTGAACCAAGTTCCTCAGTTGGCACATTATCACATTCACAATCTCTTTGTTGAACAAAATGACAACGAATGTGACAACAACTTCGCATGATTCCAAAATCATTGCGAACCTGCATTGAGATTCAAGTTTATAGATTCTTCCAACCCTATTATTCTGCATTGTTTCTTAGTTTTAAGTTTTGTATTCTTTTATGTGTGCTGTTGTCATTATTACTGATTTCTGTTTTGTTTTATAATATGTCTTTAAACCAGTGGTGAAATTCAATTTTTTTTACTACAGTTCCGTGGGCGTGGCTTGGTGAGCGTGGCAGGGGAAGGATACTGCAAAATCTCCATTCCCACCCCACTCGGGGGCCAGCCAGAGGTGTTATTTGCAAGTTCTCTGAACTACTCATAATTTCCACTACCGGTTCTCCAGAACCTGTCAGTACCTGCTGAATTTCACCCCTGCTTTAAACCAGTTGTGAACCACTTAGAGGCTCCTTGCCATCAAACAGCCTTAGACATTTAGTAAAACGGATAAAAAATAAATAGAAGCAGCCTTCCAAATTTATGCGGGAGAGAAAATCTACTTTGTAATCAAGAAAAATCAAGAACAATGCATTTCCTTTCAGGTTTGCAAACTACGCCATTGGCAGCCTCTTCACTGCAGTTTGAAGAATTTGAAACTCTCCTGTGAGCTGACAAGTTCAGTGTAAATATTTTTGTGGAGAGAAAGAAATGGGAGGGTTGATAACTCTAAGGTAGACAGAGTTCCATACCAGTGCTTCGAACTGGTATGACTTTAGAAGTATTGTGTCTTTGAGGAGTCCTTGGTGCTCTCTGAGCTTGGTTGTTTTCTTGAAGATGAGGCATTAACACCAAGAAAACCTCATTTCAACCCTGAGCTACAAATATTCTCCTTTATTCAGGGATGGGTTCGCCCCACCCGTGGCTGACCTTTCTGATCAATAAGCTCAGCTTCTTAGCCACTGAGTCACCCTTTTTGGTTGCTTATATATAACACCATATCATTTAAATGCTGTTTAGTCTTTTGGACAGTGGGCCTGTTTCTGCAAGCTCAACCAATTTAGCTTAAATCCAAGCCATCATGAGGACCTAACAAAAATGGATTAATGTAGCACCAGGTAATGTGTGTTGAAAGTTAGTCCAGTGGACTCTTTGGAAGGACCAATGGGGAGAGTTATATGCAGAATCCCATACATCTATGGAGATTCTCAGTCATCCAGGTCATGGTTGTCCCAAAGGTGCTTTTACAAGAGGCAACTGGACTTTCTTGCTTTTCCATTCCATTTCCATTTATTGAATTTATAGGCCGCCCAATCCCAGAGGACTCCGGGCGGCTTACAGAAATAAGAAATATTAAAAAGGGTTAAAAACAGATAAGACACAACAAATTAAAAAAAAAACACAACATGCACCCAGTCTAAGAGGGGCTGGACCTCAATCAAGAGGTCAACAGCCCCAGGCCTGCCGGAAAAGCCAGGTTTTAATGGCTTTGCGAAAGGCCATGAGAGTGGGTAGGGTCCGGATCTCTGCGGGTAGCTCATTCCATAGGGCCGGAGCGGCAACAGAGAAGGCCCTACTCCGAGGCATCGCCAGCCGGCATTGTCCAGCTGATGGCACCCGGAGAAGGCCCACCCTGTGCGATCTTACCGGTCTTAGGGAGGTATGCGGCAGAAGACGGTCTCGTAGATACCCGTATCTTATTATCAAATAGCAACAGAGCAATTTCAGCAGGTTTTTGGGGGGGGGGGAGGGGTTT